CTAGCCAGCACAGAAGCCTTCCAGCAACTGGCATAACAGGTACGCCTTAACCCTCTGCACCACCACTCAGACCCTTAAAAGAGATGGTAATTTCGGAGTATTTAAATCCCCCAAAGATCAACACCTCCCAAGAGCACCAGAGCAAGTGAGGGGTCATTTAGACGTTAATTTCATCAAGTCCCTGTTAATATGGGAAGACACAGTGTCTCTGCTTAAGGCACAACTCTCCTAAACACGAGAGTTAAGTATACAACTTTAGAACACTTTCCCACCAGGAGACTCGAACCCTAGCCAGCACAGAAGCCTTCCAGCAACTGGCATAACAGGTACGCCTTAACCCTCTGCACCACCACTCAGACCCTTAAAAGAGATGGTAATTTCGGAGTATTTAAATCCCCCAAAGATCAACACCTCCCAAGAGCACCAGAGCAAGTGAGGGGTCATTTAGACGTTAATTTCATCAAGTCCCTGTTAATATGGGAAGACACAGTGTCTCTGCTTAAGGCACAACTCTCCTAAACACGAGAGTTAAGTATACAACTTTAGAACACTTTCCCACCAGGAGACTCGAACCCTAGCCAGCACAGAAGCCTTCCAGCAACTGGCATAACAGGTACGCCTTAACCCTCTGCACCACCACTCAGACCCTTAAAAGAGATGGTAATTTTGGAGTATTTAAATCCCCCAAAGATCAACACCTCCCAAGAGCACCAGAGCAAGTGAGGGGTCATTTAGACGTTAATTTCATCAAGTCCCTGTTAATGTCTGGCTTAAGGCAGAGACACAGTGTCTCTGCCTTAAGCAGAGACACTGTGTCTTCCCATATTAACAGGGACTTGATGAAATTAACGTCTAAATGACCCCTCACTTGCTCTGGTGCTCTTGGGAGGTGTTGATCTTTGGGGGATTTAAATACTCCGAAATTACCATCTCTTTTAAGGGTCTGAGTGGTGGTGCAGAGGGTTAAGGCGTACCTGTTATGCCAGTTGCTGGAAGGCTTCTGTGCTGGCTAGGGTTCGAGTCTCCTGGTGGGAAAGTGTTCTAAAGTTGTATACTTAACTCTCGTGTTTAGGAGAGTTGTGCCTTAAGCAGAGACACTGTGTCTTCCCATATTAACAGGGACTTGATGAAATTAACGTCTAAATGACCCCTCACTTGCTCTGGTGCTCTTGGGAGGTGTTGATCTTTGGGGGATTTAAATACTCCGAAATTACCATCTCTTTTAAGGGTCTGAGTGGTGGTGCAGAGGGTTAAGGCGTACCTGTTATGCCAGTTGCTGGAAGGCTTCTGTGCTGGCTAGGGTTCGAGTCTCCTGGTGGGAAAGTGTTCTAAAGTTGTATACTTAACTCTCGTGTTTAGGAGAGTTGTGCCTTAAGCAGAGACACTGTGTCTTCCCATATTAACAGGGACTTGATGAAATTAACGTCTAAATGACCCCTCACTTGCTCTGGTGCTCTTGGGAGGTGTTGATCTTTGGGGGATTTAAATACTCCGAAATTACCATCTCTTTTAAGGGTCTGAGTGGTGGTGCAGAGGGTTAAGGCATACCTGTTATGCCAGTTGCTGGAAGGCTTCTGTGCTGGCTAGGGTTCGAGTCTCCTGGTGGGAAAGTGTTCTAAAGTTGTATACTTAACTCTCGTGTTTAGGAGAGTTGTGCCTTAAGCAGAGACACTGTGTCTTCCCATATTAACAGGGACTTGATGAAATTAACGTCTAAATGACCCCTCACTTGCTCTGGTGCTCTTGGGAGGTGTTGATCTTTGGGGGATTTAAATACTCCGAAATTACCATCTCTTTTAAGGGTCTGAGTGGTGGTGCAGAGGGTTAAGGCGTACCTGTTATGCCAGTTGCTGGAAGGCTTCTGTGCTGGCTAGGGTTCGAGTCTCCTGGTGGGAAAGTGTTCTAAAGTTGTATACTTAACTCTCGTGTTTAGGAGAGTTGTGCCTTAAGCAGAGACACTGTGTCTTCCCATATTAACAGGGACTTGATGAAATTAACGTCTAAATGACCCCTCACTTGCTCTGGTGCTCTTGGGAGGTGTTGATCTTTGGGGGATTTAAATACTCCGAAATTACCATCTCTTTTAAGGGTCTGAGTGGTGGTGCAGAGGGTTAAGGCGTACCTGTTATGCCAGTTGCTGGAAGGCTTCTGTGCTGGCTAGGGTTCGAGTCTCCTGGTGGGAAAGTGTTCTAAAGTTGTATACTTAACTCTCGTGTTTAGGAGAGTTGTGCCTTAAGCAGAGACACTGTGTCTTCCCATATTAACAGGGACTTGATGAAATTAACGTCTAAATGACCCCTCACTTGCTCTTGGGAGGTGTTGATCTTTGGGGGATTTAAATACTCCGAAATTACCATCTCTTTTAAGGGTCTGAGTGGTGGTGCAGAGGGTTAAGGCGTACCTGTTATGCCAGTTGCTGGAAGGCTTCTGTGCTGGCTAGGGTTCGAGTCTCCTGGTGGGAAAGTGTTCTAAAGTTGTATACTTAACTCTCGTGTTTAGGAGAGTTGTGCCTTAAGCAGAGACACTGTGTCTTCCCATATTAACAGGGACTTGATGAAATTAACGTCTAAATGACCCCTCACTTGCTCTGGTGCTCTTGGGAGGTGTTGATCTTTGGGGGATTTAAATACTCCGAAATTACCATCTCTTTTAAGGGTCTGAGTGGTGGTGCAGAGGGTTAAGGCGTACCTGTTATGCCAGTTGCTGGAAGGCTTCTGTGCTGGCTAGGGTTCGAGTCTCCTGGTGGGAAAGTGTTCTAAAGTTGTATACTTAACTCTCGTGTTTAGGAGAGTTGTGCCTTAAGCAGAGACACTGTGTCTTCCCATATTAACAGGGACTTGATGAAATTAACGTCTAAATGACCCCTCACTTGCTCTGGTGCTCTTGGGAGGTGTTGATCTTTGGGGGATTTAAATACTCCGAAATTACCATCTCTTTTAAGGGTCTGAGTGGTGGTGCAGAGGGTTAAGGCGTACCTGTTATGCCAGTTGCTGGAAGGCTTCTGTGCTGGCTAGGGTTCGAGTCTCCTGGTGGGAAAGTGTTCTAAAGTTGTATACTTAACTCTCGTGTTTAGGAGAGTTGTGCCTTAAGCAGAGACACTGTGTCTTCCCATATTAACAGGGACTTGATGAAATTAACGTCTAAATGACCCCTCACTTGCTCTGGTGCTCTTGGGAGGTGTTGATCTTTGGGGGATTTAAATACTCCGAAATTACCATCTCTTTTAAGGGTCTGAGTGGTGGTGCAGAGGGTTAAGGCGTACCTGTTATGCCAGTTGCTGGAAGGCTTCTGTGCTGGCTAGGGTTCGAGTCTCCTGGTGGGAAAGTGTTCTAAAGTTGTATACTTAACTCTCGTGTTTAGGAGAGTTGTGCCTTAAGCAGAGACACTGTGTCTTCCCATATTAACAGGGACTTGATGAAATTAACGTCTAAATGACCCCTCACTTGCTCTTGGGAGGTGTTGATCTTTGGGGGATTTAAATACTCCGAAATTACCATCTCTTTTAAGGGTCTGAGTGGTGGTGCAGAGGGTTAAGGCGTACCTGTTATGCCAGTTGCTGGAAGGCTTCTGTGCTGGCTAGGGTTCGAGTCTCCTGGTGGGAAAGTGTTCTAAAGTTGTATACTTAACTCTCGTGTTTAGGAGAGTTGTGCCTTAAGCAGAGACACTGTGTCTTCCCATATTAACAGGGACTTGATGAAATTAACGTCTAAATGACCCCTCACTTGCTCTGGTGCTCTTGGGAGGTGTTGATCTTTGGGGGATTTAAATACTCCGAAATTACCATCTCTTTTAAGGGTCTGAGTGGTGGTGCAGAGGGTTAAGGCGTACCTGTTATGCCAGTTGCTGGAAGGCTTCTGTGCTGGCTAGGGTTCGAGTCTCCTGGTGGGAAAGTGTTCTAAAGTTGTATATATATATATATATATATATATATATATATATATATATATATATATATATATATAAAATCTTCGCAAGAAATATTTCGGCGATCTCACCTTTAGTATGTTACCTGGTAATTTGTTTAATAGATCAGTTATTCTATTTCCAAACCAGTATTTAACCAGACATTTCCTGAATCTAAACCTATCCCATTTATGCCCTCTATCCATATATAGAACGTGGAAGTCATCCCTTTTTATTTTCATTTTATATGAAAGGTTTCTAATTCCGGGATTGACTTTGTCATCCATCTATGAACTCGTTCTAGTTAATCTGTTTATTCTACAGTTTGACGACCAAAACTGAACTGATAATTTAAATGGGGCCCGACGGGAGCAATATATAGCTGAAGAATAACACTAAGTGTTTTATTGATAACTCTTCTGGAAATAAATCCCTGTATGCTATTTTCTTAATTTTCGGAAATTTATTCATTATTATATTTTGGCATTATATCCCAACTAATCCTGACTGTCAGACCATTTTCGAATTCAGACTTTGCAATTTCTACACTGACAAGCTGATATCTAGTGACATCATTACCTACCTCTGAACCCGACAATTTTCAGCATTAAACTGCTTCTTTCGTCCATTTCAAAAGCCTGTCTGGAATCTAGATTGTCTTGAACCGATTTTGTTTCTTCTAAATTATGTTCTGTCTTTTTTGTGAAACATCTTTTAATCTATAAATATTGCAGTTCAGTCATATATAACGTCAGAGCCGTGAGGCACTCCACTTACAACGGTTTCACACTCCAACTTAATTCTGTTTATACTAACTCATTGTTACCTTCATGTAACCAAGCTCTTACCCAATTTATGATAGCTTCCCCATAGTCAGTGTTGTGCATTCAGTTTCAGTGTCTAAGTTGTCAGAATATGTGTTAATATGCCAATCTGCAGGTCCAATTTGGAAGAGTATGTGTTCAATATGTCAGTATGTCCCATATGTTAATGGGTGTTGCTAATATTCCAGTTTGTATGTCAGTGATTGTCAAGCATGTCAGTGTGAATTCAATGTGCTAGTGTATGCGTCCAATAAGAGAAAGATGGAAGCTTACCTTGAAGAAGGACAAGAAGACGTGAGAGGTGGAGTTAACGAGGAAGACGAACGCGAGGAAGGTGGTGAAGCCGCCGTTGAGAACAGCCGGGCCGATGGTGGCCACGGTCTGCCTGGCTCTCTGATCTCTAGTGCCGTGTTTGGTCATGAAGGTGTGGCCAACATGGGCGGCGTAGTCAACGCAGAGCCCGACGGCCAGGACCAGATCAATGCAGGAGACGGTGTCAATGGTGAGGCCCCACCAGTGCATGAGGGCCCCCACGTCCACCAGCGTGGCCAAGACACACACGAGCACCAAGACGCTGGTGACTACGCTCACCATGAGCAGGAGAGTCACCACCAACACCACAACCAGGGCAACACCCATGTTTCGGTACAGTTCCTCTTCGATCACCTGGTTTGTTTCCCATTCTCCATAAGATCTTGACCAAGCTCGCACGTATCCGGTGGCATTCATCTTACGCACTACAGTTTTAACACTTTCCATGGCTTTTATTTCTTGCCTTGATGTAGACATTAGTGTATGTCTGTAGTCAATGCTGGAAGCCACTACAGAGGGGGCTTTTTGAGTGCAGTTGAGTGCAGATGAGAAACGGAAGTTCCTATTCCTGTATGGCGACCCGCTGGGAGAGAACAGGAACTGGCTCAGCTGATCCAGAAACTCTTCCTCGGACTGTGCTGGATCAGGCACCTCATAACCTTGTTTTTTCCAGTACACTTTGTATTTGTCGTACCAACTCTCAACTTCTACTATACTCTCAGTTTCCTTCAACCGTTTAGTCATTGTGTCAATATTTGACAATTCCGTAAATAAACTGATATTGGCAAAGAACACTGAACCTTCTGCTCCAGAAGATGGATAATAATAATTTAGTTTAATGAAGAATTTATAAAGGTAGGAATTTTGTGGAAGGAACCAGATAGGATCAAATTCTTGCCGCAGGTTTGAGAGTCCCCAGGCAGATACACAAGCTAGAACGACTGTAGCTACAATCACGAAGATCTTCACTGGTAGTAAGAAGAGTATCTTGGCGTACACATTGGTGAAGAAAGTCTGGCACAGGTCTGTCTGGCTGCAGCGGTTTGGTGTCCACTTGTTGAGTTTCCAGCAGCACAGTAACCCGTGACGGCGGTCTTCCAGGCGCTTCTGATCTATACACAGACAGGCTACAAAAAAAGTAGACTGGAAGAAATAAACGGAAGCAATACCAAGAGCAGCGTAGAGACAGAAGGACCTAAGAGCTGGCAGTGCAGTTGTACTGCCAACAGCGAAGGCAACGAAGTCGGTGACGGAGGTGACGGTGATGGAGACTCCAGCATGTTTAAGGGCACAACCAACGCGCTCACTCAGCCCCTCCTTCATCTCCTGTGGCGACAGGTTGTTCCACGCCTGCATAATCACAAACATGTCATCGATGCCTAGTCCAAGCAACAAGAATGGAAGAATGCTGTTCACAGGTCCGTAGGTAATATTGAAGGCTGAACATATGCCAAAAGAGACGCCCACAGCCAGACCCACACAAGATAACCCTAATAGTGAGAGTATTGGTCTCTGCTCCACCATGTTAAATTTACCAAGCATAACAACTGCGTAAATGAAGACAATACCAAAGCCAAGACTTAAATACTGGAGATCACTCTGAATATTGTCGCCACTCACCGTCCCAAAACTAGTTGACGCCATCACGTAAACGGAAACATTTTGGGGATGTTCTGAACTGTTTAAAATGTTGTTGATAAACTCTTGCTCCCATTCATAAGTATCAATATCCACTTGTGTTCCAGTTCCAGCATCGTTTATGTAATGTCCTCTTGCAATAGCTGTGCGGTTGATCTTGGTGAACCAAGTATGTCTGGAGGCTCCAGCTTTAACAACGTGTCCCGCTCCGTCTCTCTCAGCCGCGCCCAGAAATTGTGTAATATTTATCGGGAAACCGGTGACTACACTTGTGTTGACGGTATTAATTGTTCTTATTATTTGTTGTTGATCGAGGGAGGTGATGAAGTCACGGTCGTAACCAAATACTTCCAAGATGCTGTTTTCCAAACATACTTCATCCATAGACTCTAAGAATTCACAGTAAGCATACCTAGGTAGTACTAAACTCCAATCTAGATCATTGTCTTTGTTATCATTAATTTGTCTTGCACGTCTCTTGCCAACTATCTGAGGTGCTTCGGGGATCAGATTGATGCTCAAACTCGAACCATCGTCTTCCATAACGTCTCGTTTCTGCCTTCCAAACGAAGCTATAGACAATGTGGGAACCTTGGCACACACACTCTCCCAAGTTGCCGACTTGGTCTTGGTGTTCTCAACCGCCTCGTGAACTCTTAACATCTCCAGTAGAACAGACTTATCCAAAACATTTTCGACTTCATAGATGACAACGTTAACTCTTAGATCTGACTGAAAGTTTTCTTCTTGCCACTCCATGATTCGGATAAATTCGGAATTATTTGGTATCCAGAGCTTGAAGGGACGTGTCTCTATTTCAAACCTGATGATTCCAATGCAACAGATGGCAGTGATGACCAGGCAAAAGAAGATGACAAGAAATGGTGTCCTAGAGATAAGTTTGCCGTAGCGGTAGAAGGCATGTTCCAGCCTCCCAGTGATGGCCAGGCTGATCCTCGCCAAAATGTCCCACTGCCTCTGCTGCTGCCTACTGACTTCCCCAGACAGAGGGGAAGTCTCTGGGTGCGCCGAAGTAACCATCCTCAACATTGTCGCCTGTGAAAAGATTACGTTTCTGAAATAAAAATTAGAAGTTAATGAAGGCTGAAAAACTCAATATCTATACTATAAGAGAATGTGGCTGTCTGCTCAAAATTGGAGGCCACATGCTTGGTATTAGCCTTACCCAAATTTGTAGGGGAAATGGTCTAAGTTATGGGACGAACTTAGGCTGCTTGAGCTATGTGTAAGTTAAAGGATTTAAGTAATATAATTAATTATTCACAATCCTCTCCACCCGATTCTTCCCAGTTCAATTCTGGACGAGTGAAATATTTGTTCAGACGTCAAAAGACTTCTTTGTCATCAGAAAAAATTATTTCTTTGAACACACAAATTAGTTTCATATCTTTATAATATTATATATTTATACTATAATAAAAAATGTCTGTCTGTTCAGAGTTGGAGCTAATCTCACCCAAATTAGCAGAAGGAATGGTCTGGGGTACGGGATGAACATGGGCTGGTCGGGATAGCCAGAATTCAAAAGGGAATAGCATGCCAGTGCTACATTCATATCCCCACAACGATATTTGGCATCGCCCACCAGCAACACAGCTGGTGGGCGGTAGCTATTTTTTTTTTAGAATTTCGTACCACTGAGCTTCTCTCCATGCCGACCAACCACACATTATACAATTATTTTTTTTAATAAGAGAAAGAAAGACAGAAGGTCCACCATCCCCATTTGCCTTGATGATCTTTTCCAGCTGTACCTTATTCATTTTGGCATTTACGGCCTCGGCGGGTAGGCGGTTCCATGGATTAATATCCTGTGGGTTGAAAAATAATCTATTTTTCTCAGTCCTTCATCGTGGCCTGTTAAGCTTAAAACCATTGCTTCCTGTTTGTGTTACAACTGACCTTCTAATGAAAATTCCCGGATCAAAATTCTCCAAATTGTTCGATATTTTAAAAGTTTCAATACGATGCCTGGTTTGCAGTGTTGGTAGCCCTGGGGCCCTCAACCGTTCCTGATGCGAGAGATGATATAGCTCTGGAATTTTTGTTGCTCGGTGTTGCACCTTTTTCAGAGCAGTTATGTCTTTCTGAAGATGAGATCTCCATGCTTGGATAAAGTAATTCAAATGGGGGCACCAGAGATTTATACAATTAAATCATTTCCTTCTTTTCCTTAAAGTCAAAGGTACGCTTGATTATTCCAAGTTATTTAGTTACTAGCAGTACCCAGCCACGCGTTGTTGTGGCTCAGCATCGTATGTGAGTTGCTGAGCCACAGCAACCTTCCCTGTCCCCCCAGTCCTCCCCACCATTCATCACTCCACCATCCCCTCTTCCTTCCAACCAAGCCCACTCCCCTGTCCCTTTGTCCTCCCCACCATTCTCCATTCCCCCATCTCCTCGTCCCCACCATCCCAAACTCCCCCGTCCCCTCGTCCTTCCCCACCATTACCCCCACCCTTGTCTCTGTGTCCTCCCCACCATCTCTCACTTTCGTCCCCTCGTCATCCCCACCATTCCCCACTCCCTCGTCCGATGCCTTACCAAATGGTCTGATGTTCCCATCAGAAAATTGGGAACATCAAGTGATCTGATGTTCCCATCACTGAAATATAAGAAAAACAGTTAAAAAATTAAATGAAAACATAAAAATAAAAATAAAAAATAAACTATACTCACAAAATGAACGGTATGATAAACAGCACAGCTCAATCCCAACACAATTCACATAAAATAATTAAATCAAAATGAAAATAAATCAAAATCTATTAAAATACAATTTATCAATGCAATCAGAAACATTGAAATAGAATTGTAACATATTTAGTACAGCATGTGTGTTGCTCTTACATGCAACAGATGGCGCTGTTTTTCAAGAAAAGCATAGTTTTACCTGTTACAGGTAAAACACATCTGTGGCATCTATACTTATACTCACGAAATGAACGGTATGGTAAACAACACAGCTCAATTCCAATACAATGTCACACAAAATAATTCAATAAAAAATATAATAAATAAAATATATCGAAATCTATGAAAATAAAATTTGTCAATGCAGTCGGAAACATTGAAATGGAATTCGTGACATATTTAAAATAGCGTGCATGTTGCTATTATGTGCAACAGATGGCGCTGTTTTTCATAAACGCATGTTTTTACCTGTTAGAGGTGTGGCATCTATATAGTAGGTATGTAAAAAGACGCGCCTATTCGAATGCAACGTTGTGTCAAAATTTCAAAGCAATCGGTGAAGAATTTTCGGAGATTAGAGGGTGTGTTGCTCTTACGTCCAACAGACGGCGCTGTTTAAAAAAACAAAAAAAAAAATGTTTTTTCATGTCACAGGTGAGGCATGTATATAGTAGATATATAAACAGACGCACCTATTCAAATGCAACGTCGTGTCAAAATTTAAAAGAAATCGGTAAAGAGGTTTCGAAGATTTCTCTCACATGAAAAACACAGTTTTTCAAAAAAGCATGTTTTTTTCCGTCACAGACGTGACATTAATATGGTATGTATATAAAAACCTGCTGGGATGCGAATGGAACAGTGTGTGCAAATTTCAAAGCAATCAGTGAAGAACTTTTGGAGATTATCGATTTTGAACAAACGAACATTTCCATTTTTATTTATATAGACTAGCTGTACCCGGCCACGCGTTGCTGTGGCTCAGCAACGCGTGTGCGTAGCTGAGAAAGATGAAACTTTTCAAAAATATCCGAGGCGTTGGTAGTTGTTTCCAGAGAACAGAAGAGAAACTCCTCTCTAAATGAACCTGAACGAATATATCTTGCAAACACCAGCATCTGGGAACACGATGCCACAACAATCGATTCTTGAACGTGAACTGAATATATGTCAAGTGCTGCGAACTTCATCTGCACAACATGAGCCTTGGGGTCAATGGCCGTGTCTCTGATTCTCATGTGAACAATACTGTTTGATAGTCAAATTGCAGCAAGTTGTTTTCTCCAATTCATTTATAACTCAATTTTCGTAATATTGAGAGCGCAAACTTTGACCAAACTTTCCCAATTGTATGTGTTTTGTCTGCTTCACTATCTCCAGTATTTCGACAGAGTTACTTCGGTAAACGTGTGGTTCATTTCTTGGTATTATGTTCTTCAATCCATCTTCATCTTTCTGGGAGGATCCCTATCAAGTTCTGAAAAGCCTTTCTCCCTGTCCTTGTGTTGAGGCTTTCCCCCTGTCCTTGTGTTGAGGCTTTCCCCCTGTCCTTGTGTTGAGGATTTCTCCCTGTCCTTGTGTTGAGGCTTTCCCCCTGTCCTTGTGTTGAGGCTTTCTCCCTGTCCTGGTGTTGAGGCTTTCTCCCTGTCCTTGTGTTGAGGCTTTCTCCCTGTCCTTGTGTTGAGGCTTTCTCCCTGTCCTTGTGTTGAGGCTTTCTCCCTGTCCTTGTGTTGAGGCTTTCCCCCTGTCCTTGTGTTGAGGCTTTCCCCCTGTCCTTGTGTTGAGGCTTTCTCCCTGTCCTTGTGTTGGGGCTTTCCCCCTGTCCTTGTGTTGAGGCTTTCTCCCTGTCCTGGTGTTGAGGCTTTCTCCCTGTCCTTGTGTTGAGGCTTTCTCCCTGTCCTTGTGTTGAGGCTTTCTCCCTGTCCTTGTGTTGAGGATTTCTCTCTGTCCTTGTGTTGGGGCTTTCCCCCTGTCCTTGTGTTGAGGATTTCTCTCTGTCCTTGTGTTGAGGATTTCTCCCTGTCCTTGTGTTGAGGATTTCTCCCTGTCCTTGTGTTGAGGATTTCTCCCTGTCCTTGTGTTGAGGCTTTCTCCCTGTCCTTGTGTTGAGGATTTCTCTCTGTAATAGTGTTGAGGCTTTCTCCCTGTCCTTGTGTTGGGGCTTTCTCCCTGTCCTTGTGTTGAGGATTTCTCTCTGTAATAGTGTTGAGGCTTTCTTTCTGTAATAGTGTTGAGGCTTTCTCTCTGTAATAGTGTTGAGGCTTTCTCTCTGTAATAGTGTTGAGGCTTTCTCTCTGTAATAGTGTTGAGGCTTTCTCTTTGTAATAGTGTTGATGAGGAACATTCTGCAAATGTTGCTTCAACTTCATTGGTTAAGTAGACTCATTTAAGAAAGCTTCGCTGCCAATAACACATTGAAGCCACTGATGATGATGGATGTAAATCATTATTCAGTATTTGAGTCTTCGGACCCTCCTTCACACTCATGACTATGAATACAAATTCCATGAATAAAAGCGAAAAAAGTTAAATATACTCTAATTGAAATACTTATTCAGATAAAATTTAACATTTTATATTTGTTTATAATTTAATCTTTGACATACGAGAGTGTTTGCGAGGAAAATTCTATACTAACATTGAGACTTAACTCTTCCATTGTTCACTGAAAATTATAATCGCCAGGGAACACTTGTCTGGGCGTTGTGTTGCCATAATGTTCAAGACTCGCCTGGGAACACTTGTCTGGGCGTTGTGTTGCCATAATGTTCAAGACTCGCCTAGGAACACTTGTCTGGGCGTTGTGTTGCCATAATGTTCAAGGCTCGCCTGGGAACACTTGTCTGGGCGTTGTGTTGCCATAAT